CCATGCATTGATTACTGTGCCCTTAACGAAATCACTGAGAAATTCCCCTACGTAATACCACTTATCCCAGTAGCACTGGAAAACCTTGAAGGTGCTCAGTATTTTACCAAATTAGATCTTCGTAGTTCATCTAGTAATCTAGGAAGGGTTAAAGAAATTGACAAATGGAAAACAGATTATCACCTGTAGGGGGCACTATGAATACCTTGTAATGCCTTTCAGGCTCTCTATTGGCCAGCCCCAACAAGTATTTGTAATGATCCATAATGAATTTACTTCCAATATCTTTTATTAATAAAACACACAGAAGCGATGTGCCGAGTGAACTGGAAGGGTCTCATTCATTGCTCTTGTTTAGAGCACATGAGACGCAGGCTGCCACTCACCTGTGATAAAATCCACTGTTACAGTGACATAAGATCCTGTGGCAATGGATGTCCACATAGCACGTTACAGCTATCCTACCCGTTTTCTTCAGTGATTCCATAAGTTTGGTTTTGCTCTCGTCGTAGAAAGCAGTCTTTGAGATGAGATGCTGTATCTTGACTCCAAAGTGTGCAGCATGCCCTGATTCTCAACAACTGAGATGAAATACCTTGGCAATAAAAGTTGCGAGAGTTGTAATTCACTTCTTTGATACTGCTTGCTTGATGGCCCTCTGACTGGCAGCAAGTACAACCAGACAGAAAATGGGTGGAAACGTGTAATATGGGTTCCCATATTTATTGTTTCCAAAATATTTTAGTTTAGTGTGACACAACTTGCTGTGACGGCTGGGGAATAGCCAGACGCATGCAGAGCAGACTAGAATGTGTTTAATAAGGGAGAATCCAAAATCAATGTACAGAACAGGGCGAGGGTTGATACACAAAAGAGCAAGCAGAGCCTTTTAGGTAAAAATTTAAAATAATCCCCCTTTGCAGTAAAATAAATCTCTGCTGATCATTTTAACAGCGTTTTAATGATAGATGGTCTTAAATGCTGCTAATTCACCACCCTATAACCCTGAAGGTTGGCATGCAGACTTTTTACACAAAACTATTCTACTTTTGAGGAAAAGTTTCCTGCAGGAGATGGGAGGAAAGCGGCCATAGCTAAATTCCATGATCGCTTCATCACACAGGCGCAGACTTCCCCTAACTCAGGTCATCCTGGGCAGTTCAGAACTCAACAATTGGTGTCAAATCATTATTGGTGGGAAATGTTAGGACAGGTTGTTCACCGGTTTGGACATCATGTTCCATATGTGACCAAAGCAAAACCCCCAAAGCTCTACCTGCTGGCAAGCTTATGCCACTCCAAGTTTCTGAATGTCACATTGTAACACTGAGGTAGCTCTCAAGCGTGCCAAGGAGCAGGCTGACAAGCGTCATGGAGAGACCCCCTCCTATCAGATTGGAGCCAGGTTTGGTTGTTTATACGGGACCTCAGGTTTGGGGAGGGTAGTCGTGAATTGCAGCCCAAGTGCATCAAAAGAATAAATTAAGTTACATATAGACTCAATCTTCCTGCTCAATTCTGTATTTCTCCCTCATTTCCTCAAGGCAGTGGTCTCTGGGGTGGAGGTAGGGGATCTGGTTTTTGATTTTTTGCTGTGGTTTTTCGACTGATTTTGGATAATCTTTTTGTTATTAAAGATCTTAACTCATCTGCAAGCGTCTGTTACCATCTGTTTCTGTCTGCCACTGTAACACCAAGAAAATACCATAAAATACTCCTTCGTTGTGGTACATAGTTTATTAGTGTCTGTATAGTACAAACCCTGTCACCTTGGTGGTCATACAGCCTGTCCTTTTTTTGTTAATTTTAACAGTTATGAAATTTGTCAAATTTGCCCTTTGCTGGCCTGCTCAGTCTGATCAGGAATGTTTATGCCAGAAAAAAAGAAAATATGACCTGAAAAGGTTCATGGTCAGTATTTGTATTTACAAGTACTTGGAGGGGTCAGAGTCTGTATTTACCAGCAGTAGGAGGATGGAACAGGGTGCAAATATTAATATGGACTGTGTTCAGGGACACATCTGGAGACTCTTCAAGTATTGAAGAGACGCGAAGCCTAAGTAAATAGAAGGAGGTGCAAGATCTGCCCAGCTGCCAGACAGAAAAGTCCACAGATGGTGTTCCCAAAGCACCAAACCTGGGTGGAAGGAGCACAAACATATAATTGTCTTTTGTGAGGCAGGTAAGCACTGAGATGGCAATTTGCAATGTTCACATTTGATTTTATTTCATCCTAAATGAGTTTTAGATTGTAGCAAGGCGTGTGCACGTGTGTGTGTATTTTTTTCTGAAACGCAGAAAAAGGCAGTCTGAACCCAAAATAGGTGAATCATCATTAACTGAATGACGTCACATGTGAATTCACATATACACATATAATAATTATCTTTAACAGCAGATTGACTAAGTTTTGTCAGTTAATATGAACTCATAAACCCTTTGCTGGCCTGCTCAGTCTGATCAGGAATGTTTATGCCAGAAAAAAAGAAAATATGACCTGAAAAGGTTCATGGTCAGTGTCTGTATGTACCAGCAGTTGGAGGGGTCAGAGTCTGTATTTGTAAGCAGTAGGAGGATGGAACAGGGTGCAAATATTAATATGGGCTGTGTTCAGGGACACATCTGGAGACTCTTCAAGTATTGAATTTGCAACCCCATTTCCAAATAAGTTGGCATGCTGTGCAAAATGTAAATAAAAACAGAATGGAATGATGTGCAAATGTCACACATCCCTCCAACCCTGACTCTCTGGTGGACTCCATTTCACAGAACCCTCTGGGTGAACATGTGTCTGTGACATCAGACCAGCCCACCTGATTACAGATTTGTCTCACCTTTTTCTCATTAAGTGCTTAATTCAGGTAGTATGTAAGTCTGGGCTTTAGGTTAGCTCAGTGCGAAGTACTGCTTCTCTTGTAGAGCCACTGTGTTATTTCCCATGTTTTGGCTGTTTGATTCTGGTTCTGACTTATCTTCTGCATTGTTGCCTTGTTGCCCGCTCCCTGTTTGGATTTTGTCTGCCTGATTAGATTTGCATTATGTTTTTCTACCTGTGTATTTTGCTGCTTTTGAATGTAACATTTGCCTGTTATTTGAACACGTCTCTACAAAATGAATCAGCTAATAAAGCCTCATTTATATCTTTTATCTCTTTTTATCAGATCCACACACATCTGACTCGTTCTGTCACATTACAGTAAATTATTTAAATCCTATGTTTATTTGAAAATAGTACAAATACAGCATATGAAAGTTGAAACTGAGAAATTTTATTGTTGTTTGAACAATATATGCCCTTTTTGAATTTGATGCCAACAAAACTCTGTAAGCATTTGGGAGACCAATTGTTGAAGTTTTGAAATATTTTTCCGTTCTTGATTGATATTGGATTTCAGCTGCTCAACAGTTTGGGGTCTTCTTTGTTGTATTTTTTGTTTCATAATGCACCAAAAATTTTCATTAGGTGCCAGATCTGGACTGCAGCCAGGCCACTTTAGCACTCGAATTCTTTTTCTACAGAGCCATGCTGCTGTAATATGTGCTGAATGTGGTTTGGCATTGTCTTGCTGAAATAAGCAAGGCCTTCCCTGAAAAACAGTCATCCTATATTTTGCTCCAAAACCTGCATACATCATTCAGCATTGATGGTGCCTTCACAGATTGGCAAGTCACCCATGTCATGTGCACTAATGCCCTCTATACCATCACAGATGCTGGCTTTTAAACTGTACACATAATAATCCAGATCATCCCTATCCTCTTTAGCCCGGAGAATGCAGTGCCAATGATTTCCAAACAGAATTTCAAATTTTTATTCTTTGGACCACAGGACACTTTTACAACTTCTGTCCATCTTAAATGAGTTCGGGCCCAGAGAAGCCAGCGGTGTTTCTAATTCCTGTTTACACAAGGTTTCTCATTTGCATGGTACAGTTTAACTTGCATTTGTGGATGCAACAAACTGTGTACAAAGTGTGTACAGACAGTGGTTTTGGGAAGTGTTCACTAGCCCATGCAGTGATTTCCATTACAAAACTGTATCTCTTTTTGACCCTTTAAAATCCCAGGCTTATTACATTCTTAGCCTTATTATTCAGTAACTAGAGGTATTTCAGTGCAAACTACTTGAGCTATTCTGAGGTTATAGAAGTGTGTAATAAAACTTTGGGCCCACTGACAGACCCTGGCCATGTAAGGGGTTAATAGCCAGCCAATATTGTTTTTTTTGGTGGAGATTTCTCAGAATTCTCTGAATCTTTTAATGATATAATGTACTGTAGATGATGTAATCCTCAAGTTCTTTGCTGTTTAACATTGAGAAACAAAGTCTTGTGTGAGTGAACCCCCCCCCATCTTTACTTCTGAAAGACTCAGCCTCTTTTTGATGCTCTTTTCATATTCAATCATGTTATTGACCTGTTGCCAATTAACTTTTTTAGCATTACACAACTTTACCTGTCTTTTGTTGCCCCCATCCCACATTTTTTGGAATATGTTTCAGGCATCAAATTCAAAGTTGACATATATTTTTCACCTGATAATGCAATTTCTCAAATTAAACATTTGATATGTTGTCTTTGTACTATTTTCAGTGAAATATAGGGTTTAAATGATTTACACATCATTACAGTCTGTTTTTATGTAAATGTTGCACAGCGTCCCAACTTTTTTGGAAGTGGGGTTATACGTCTTTTACACACATATGTGTGTGTGTGCATTGTTATGATAATAATAATATAATAATAATAATAATAATAATAATAGTTTGTCTGTTATTCTCACTGTAACTTATGAAAATCACTAAATTCACACTGTCCCTCAAAAAAGGTCACAGTATTCAGTAAGATTCAGTAACATTAGAATGTTAGCTGCTGTAATTCCTGCTCTCTGCTTCTGTCCAGGTGACGTCCTTCACCTGGTGGGTGAAACCCGACTGTGCCAAGGTCCTACAGTAAAATCATATGTTTATTTTATTGGGAAATCCAACAACACGTGGGGCATTTTGGTACATCTGGAAGAACAGTATTACTCAACTCCAAATATTTCCAAATAAGAACTGACGCTTCCGGTGGCAGCATCATAAAAGGGCTGAAGAACACAAGCTCCGAGTTTAGATTTGCTGACTGTACAGACCCAGCAAGAGTAGAGCGAGGTAAGGCTCCAACTTTGATATCACTAGAAAGATGATTGATTTGAGTATAACTAATTTTTAAAGTGGCATTGATGACTTAGAGCTGTATACGTACTAAGACTATACATACTCTAGAATTCATGGAAAATTCTACTGAAATAGTTCAAGCTACAATTCCACAGCAAAAATTTAAATAAATACATAAATAAATAATTAATGGCTAGTATTCAGATCTTGGAATTACATGGATTATGTTGATCTATTTCAACCCAGAGAGGGGAGATCTCGCAAATCATTAATAAAGATAAGGTGAATATACACAAAATCATCATTTATAGGGTCCTTTCTATTGGGAGGTGTCTTTTCCAAACCCTAACCCCTAAATTTACTCCTGTGAAAGTAATACTTACTTTTTATGTTTATTTTTTCTGTGTTTTTCTTCTTTCATCTCTTTTTGATGTGAAGTTTAAGCCCTTAAGATCTCAGGCTTCATACATACTAAGGTTTATTATTCGGTAACTACAGGGACTTCAGTGCAAACTAGCTAAGCTATTCTTAGTCCTGGGTCCTGGCCACGTGCGGGGTCAAAAAGTCTGTTGATGCACAGTGTGTGTTGTTCGTCCTCTACCCCTCCATCGCTGCTTAGTTTCTGACCACAGAGGTACTTTTGGCTCTCCTGTTTTGCTGTAGATGGCTGCTGTGTTGGTGTTGCTCATGGCAGTGCTGGTTTCGGGAGACGTAACCTGTCCCGACGGAGGAAACTGCACAGATGGTGAAACCTGCTGTAAACAAGAAAGTGGGTACAGCTGTTGTGCGTATCCCAATGTAAGTAATCACCCAACATTCATTTCTTAATTATTTCTCAATGCAATTGTGCTTTAGATTCACATATCACTGTTGTCATTTGCATTAACAGGTTTAGCTTGTGTTTTATCTTCACTACATTTATTAATGTATTTTAAAGTCGTTTAAAAAAGTAATGTGTATTTATATTTGCAAGAAGATATGGTTTATCGCCACAACACAAAATGCAGCGCTACTTTTCTGGAAGATTTCTAGTTAGCGCAG